TGCTGCCCCTGTTGGAAAGTCCCCAGGCTCTCTGCCTCTGGCAACCGCTGAGTCCATTCTCCAGGGATGCGGGTCTTCGGGGAGAAGTCCCTCTGATCACTTTGTGTGTGTGTTTTAATGATTCAGAGGTTCCTCTGCCCCCAGAAATCACCTACTTCAAAATAATGATGCCTAAAATCCTCCTCACACAACTCTTTGGTTCATGCAATGTGAAAAATACAAGTTCTGACAGGTCACATTGAAAGGCATTCCCCTCGAAGTACAACGAGGGCCCTGCTTGGACTCACCTCACACCCTGCGGGAACGGCCTTGTCGGCAACACAAGGAAAGTGGATTCCCGAGGGAGCTGATCACTAAAGGGTGAGAAGCTCCTACAAACTCACACATTTTGCAGTTCCACTAGTTTGCTCGGCATTAGCTAAACAGGAGCTGGTGGCTGGAGCATTCTGCAGGAACGCTTGTGGTTTCTGAAGGTATGTATGGTGTGTGTGTGTCCATTCAATCAGGTCACTATAGCCCAGCTGGGCGTGGCTCAGTGGTTGAGCATCGACCTAGGATCCAGGAGATCGGGGTTCGATTCCCGGTCAGGGCACATGCCCTGGTTGTGGGCTGCAGCCCATCAATGACTCTCTCATCATTGATGTTTCTATCTTTCTCTCTCCCTCTCTTTTCCTCTCTCTGAAATCAATAAAGATATATTTTTTAAAAATTTAAAAAATAAGGTCACTATAAAGGCACTTGGTTTTAAAGTCTATGTGAAGGCCTTGGGGGCGGGGAGTGGGTGCAGGGTGGAAGGGGTCAATGGGGAAAAGAGAGGATATCTAATATTTTCAACAATAAAGATAAATTTTAAAAAATAAAGACTATGTTAACTGAGGTATTGTTCTAATTAACTAAGCTACCCTGAGGAATAGCTGTAGAGAAATAGTGCATTTATTTTTTGTCTTTCAAAGCAATGCAGAATGAGTCTATTAAATACCTTTGACTGAAATTCAGCAATTCATATGTGACCTTATGTGATCAAAAAATAAAATTTTCAGAATTTGTTCCCCTTTGCTTAGCTGAAGTTTACCATGTAAACAAATATAATAGTGTGTTCAGGTTCCTAATGGTTTTAGATATACACCAACACACAGGCATTACATGGTCGCCACCATCAGCAAATCCTTCAGTGTTTTTCCTTCTTGGCCTTTGACTCATTAGCAGCTCCCATTCTCTATTCTCAATTTAGTAAAAGGGATTAATTCTTTAAAAGCTTCCACTAAAAGTCCAAAGACTAACTCAATACCTTCTTTCATTTCTACATAGCCCCATGCCCGCCTCCTCCAGCCTCCAGGATGCCAAGCCACGTTTGAAAGCAGAGTTTTCTCTCTTATCTCCCGGATGCCTGTCCATTCTCACCTTGGCAGAAAGCCACTGAGGACTGGGACTGGCGGGCGGACACATGTTCTGCTGAGCACCATTCTCCCAATGCCTGTGTAAGTGATACCTGGATCTTATGATCACAGGCAGCTCATGCTCCTGAGGGCACCCAAGGTCTCCCTTTTCTGAGAAAGTCAATGGAGGGAGAGGTCAGTGTATGGATTTCCATGGATAACCTCTCGTCACGATTCTAGCTACAGCTCCTCCAGCATGGCAGGATCGTTGGACGGAAGCCAGGGAGAAATATATCTCCCATTTAGAAAATATGAAAAATTAGTAAAATTAAGTATGACAAAGGTGGTATTTCCTGAGTTAAATATTAACTTCCTAAATTAAATATTAACATGGTATTTAATTTAATTTAAATGTCTGTTAAAAAGTCTTCTGGTGATGTTTAAATAATTGAACAAATTGACAGTAACAATTAATCCAGGCATACAAGCAGCTAAAACTTCTCATTTTTGAAGTGGTTGTAGAATCGCATATAAATTGTTCTTTTTTTAAAGATCAGTGATGAAATAAGCCATGGTATGGCGATTTCATAAATTAAAGCTATTGTAAGAACTTCATGCATGACAAACTAGAATTAGTAATATAAGACAAATAATTAAGAAAAGAGAATTAGGAATTAGTGTTGGGATACCCAAGAATGGTATGGAGAAAATGAAATTAGATCATACGTTCTTACAATATATAATGTAGTGTTAGATTTAAAAAATAACCACCACCCTGGCTTGTGTGGCTCCGTTGGTTGGAGCACGGAGTCATACACCGAAAGAATGTGGGTTCAGTTCCTGGTCAGGGCACATGCCAAGGTTTCGGGTTTGATCCCTGGTTGGGGCTTGTGTGGGAGACAAGCGATCGATCATTCTCTCTCACATCAATGTCTCTCTCACTCGCTCTCCCCCTCTCTCTAAAGTCAGTAAGCATGTCCTTTGGTGAGGATTAATAATAATAATAATAATAATAAATAAAAAACAAGAGAAGTAGAATAGACTAATTATCTGTTAGGACAAACAGACAAATAGGTTTACAAAAGAGATACATTTACATCAAAACATGAAGTATATCATCATAGTATAGATCTGTTCATATTTAAATAAATAGCACTTAGAACAATGTAATAACATAAATAACAAAAGAAAGACAAAATTAAAAATACTCAAGACATATTTATTGCCCCAAATATATAAAACATTGTTGTAAATATACAAAGTACTCTGCTTTCCTGCCATAAGTGGTCAAGGAACATTAACAATTTACGTAGAAGGAAACCCCTGACATTAAATTGAATCATATGGACTATGTATCATTTCATAGCAATTAAAGAGGCACAAATTAGAACTCATAAAATGACGCAAAAATAACTAAAAGATGCTTTTAAAGTTTTTTTTAAAGCCAGTGTTGGAGGAGGAGCTGTGGGAAACAAGAGTTGCATCTACATTGCTGGTGGGCTCCACATTTATGTAGCGCAACTTCTCAATATGCAGCAGGAGCCCGAAAAAACTTTCAGAACATTCCATCTATCCATTCCATTTCTGGGAATACATGAAAAGAAAAAACTTAAAGGGGAAAGTAAAATTTCTGCAGAAGTTTTATACAACAGCATTACTTTTCATAATGAACATAAGAAACATCTCTAATGCACAATTAGAAGGAAAATGAATTAGGCAATTACTCTATACTAACGGAATACAATACACTCTTATAATAAAAAATGACTGATACATGGATTGTGTTGATCCGTGGAAATCTATATGTGAAGCTGTAGTAAGTAAAGTTAAGCAAGTGACAACTATGCCAACTGCTGAAGTGTGAGGTTCTTGGGGACTGAGCCGTATTTTGTATTGAATTCACAGGCCCAGACTTCGTTCCTGGTACTCAGTAAGTGCTCAAGTGTTTGTTGAATGAATGTGTAAATGGCTTTTCTGTTTATCCTGAGTTCCTGACCTCCTGCCTGCTGTGACCTTGGTATTTTTGCACCTTGCTAGCTTTCACACAGCTCAGCTGCATTTCTGAGCTGTAGCCTGCTTGGGCCTCAGCTAAATGCATGTCCTCCGCAGTCCTGGCACCCAGCTTGTGACCTCTGCTCTACTGAAGTCTCCAGACCCAGGGTGACACACAGTTGCAGCTCAACAAACACCTAACCTGATGTCTGCACTCATCTGCAAGCTTGTGGAAAACAAGCAAAAACAAACTTGTCAAGGTGCAAAAGAACACGAACAAACTTGGGAAAAGAATTGAGTAGGGCAAAGAGTTTAGAGTTAGAAATGAACTGCAGTCATTCTCAGGGAAGGAACAGCTGTATTGGAAAACCTTTATGATGATAAGAACTGCCTAAAAAATGTTAAGGCTCAAAGCTCATAGTCATATATTTAAAAAGAAGAAAAAATAATTGCGATCAATTTCCTAGAACTAGAGAGCCTATGTCTCCCCAGGTGCCTGTTACAAAGAGGCAAATACAGCCAAGGATTTGACCTTCTCTTAATCTCCTGGTCCCCCAGCTACTCTGATGGGAAGGCCAGCAGTGAGAAGCCGCCAGCTGCCCAGATGGGTCTGCCCAGGGTATGTGCTGAGATTCTGCTGAGAGCAAGAGGGGCCCATTTAAGCCCTTAAGATACTTGGAAAATACCTGCCCTATAAGGTCCCTGCTCCTAGTGTCATCAGGCTGTTAGGGATGACAGGCTGGCCTGGCAGAAAAGCAACCAACACACACACACACAGACACACACAGGCACACACACACAGGCACACACACAGGCACACACACAGAGGCACACACGCACACACACAGGCATACACACATACACACACACACACACACACACACACACACACACACACATACACGCGTTGCTGAAACTATTCCCCTAGTGGCCCCGCGCTGGGCCTTTCGGGGCGCCCCTGAGCCCCAGGCACATCAATCTTTGATAGCAGAATGAATGGGTGAGCCACTGAACCGGGAGGAAAGGGGATTCAGCAGGTTGCCAGAGTCTCTTAGGAAATCACAGCATCAAGTGACTTCAGTGTTTATGTTGGAGGACCTGCGTCGTCAGAGCGCACACCTCCGAAGAGGCCCAGATGCAGGCGGCGAGCTGTGCGCCGAGGGGCACCATTCGGGGAAGAAGGGAAAACAGGCCTGCAATGCCCTGGCCAGGCGCGGCCCGTGCAGGCCCGAGGCTGGAGCCACCGCTGCGTGAGGCATCGGTCCCGTGTCCGTCCCCAAGCCGGCCCCCGCCTAAGCCTCCCTGTGCTATAAATACAGTGGCCCGCACGCTGCGGAGACACGGTGTTCCCTCGCCTCGCCGGGACAGATAACATGAATTTGCCCTTTAAACGTCCCAAGCCCAGGGCACAGCCCCCAGCCCACCCCTGCCTCCCGGAAGCGCCTTCGCCCCCTTTGCCCTCTGCCGGGGAGGGGGGCGGCGAGGGGGTGTCCAGGCACCTGCCCAGCCAATGCGCACGGCGCGCGCGGCCCCGGGGTCCCTCCTCCTCTCGCGAGAGGCCGGGCGGGGGATATAAGGAGGGATGCGGGGCGAGGCCGGCGGCCCCTTCGCGTCGCGCAGGGAAGGAGACGGGGTGGCTGTGCCCGGCCCGGCCAGAGCGAGAGCGAGAACGACAGCGCGGCTCCCCGAGGCTGTGTGCGCCCGGCTGTCATCATGAGTGACCAGGCTATGAGCTTCTTGAAGGACTTCCTGGCCGGCGGCATCGCCGCTGCCGTCTCCAAGACCGCGGTGGCCCCCATCGAGCGGGTCAAGCTGCTGCTGCAGGTGGGGACGCAGCGGGCGCGGGCGCGGGC